TATAGTTAGTTGCTCATAGTATTTTCTTAAAATGTTTCATATTTCTGTGGTGTCTCTTATCTGTTCTCCTCTTTCATTCCTGATTTTAGTAATTTGTGTCCTCTTTTTTTTTCATGAGTCTGGCTAGAAGTTTGTTTATTTTGTTTATAAAAAAATAAAACCAGGTTTCTCAAAAAAACAGCTCTTGGTTTTATTGATCTTTTGTATTGTTTTTCTGGCCTCTAATTTGTTTATTTCCGCTCTGGTCTTTACTATCTCCTTCCTTATACTCTTTTTGGGCTTATTTTGCTGTTTATTTTCCAGTTTCCTGAGGTGTGAGGATAACATGTTGATTTGAGATGTTTCTTGTTTCTTTAGGTAGGCCTGCAGTGCCATGAGCTTCTCTCTTATGACTGCTTTCACTGCATCACTAAATTTTGGGTCTTTGTGTTTTCATTTTCGTTTGTCTCGAGATATCTTTTGATTTTTTGCTTGATCTCATTTTTTACCCATTCGCTATTTAATAACGTTATTCAGCCTCCATGAATTTGTGTTTTTTTCCAGTTTTTCTCTTGTAGTTGATTTCTGATATGATTTCAATTTTCTTAAATTTATTGAGACTTCTTTTGTGGCCTAACATGTGGTCTATCTTAGAAAATGTTCCACGTGCACTTGAAAAGAATGTATATTTTTTTACTTTGGCATGAAATGCTCTGAAAATATCAATTAAATACAGCTGGTCTAATGTGTCATTTAAGGTCACTGTTTTCATATTGATTTTCTGTCTGGAGGATCTGTCCCTTGCTGTCAGTGGTGTGTTGAATTCCCCTAATATGATAGTGTTACTGTTGATCTCTGTCTTTATGTCTGTCAATATCTGTTTTATATATTTAGGTGCTCCTATGTTAGGTGCATAGATGTTTACTAGGGTTATGTCCTCTTGTTCATCGATCCCTTTTTTATTATGTAGTGCTCTTCTTTGTTTTTTTTTATTATGTTCTTCAATTTAAAGTCTATTTTGTCTGATAGAAGTATTGCTCCTCCAGGTTTTTTCATATTTCCATTTGCATGAAATATTTTACTCCATCCCTTTACTTTTTTTTTTAAAGATTTTATTGGGGAATTGGGGGAGGGGAAAAGCATTGGGGAATCAGGGAAGGGGAACAGACAAGTTGCTGTCCTTTTGTTCTTCAGTCTAGTTGTGGAGGACGTCGCTTCACTGGCCCATGTTGGTGTTATCATTGTGCTCTTCCCGGGTGAGGCAGATCGGTCACCGGTCACTGGACGGCCACTCACAGCAGCTCTTGGCAGCTCACACCAGCTGCCAGCTGCTCACGTAGCTTATGGGAGCCCACTGCAGCCTCAATGCAGCCTACACCTTCACTGGCGACTCATGCCAGCCCCGCTCCAGGTCAAGTGGTTGTTCACCATCTTAGCTGTAGAGGGCGCCACATCACTGGCCCTAATGCAGGATCCGAACCAGGGGCCCAGCTGCTCAGAGCTGGCATCCTAAGCCAACACTTAACCAATGCGCTACTCGGCCGGCCCTCCATCCCTTTAGTTTCAGCCTGTATATGTCTTTTGAGCTGAGATGAGTCTCTTGTATACAGCATATGCAAGAGTCTAGTTTTCTTATCCATTCAGCCACCCTATATCTTTTGTTTGGAGCATATAATCCATATACATTTAATGTGATTATTGATAGGTGCATTGTTATTGCCATTGTGTTACTTGTGTTTCTGGTGTTCATTCATTAGATTGTTTTTCTCTTTCTTCTAGGTAAAGAAGCACTTTTAACATTTCCTGTAATTGTGGCATGGTGGTAATGAATTCCTTTAGCTTATTCTTTTCTGGGAAGCTCTTGATCTCTTCTTCAATTTTAAATGATAATCTTGCTGGATAAAGCAATCTAGGTTGTAGGCCTTTGTTTTTCATCACTTTGAATACTTCCTGCCACTCCCTCTGGCCTGCAAGTTTTCTGTAGAAAAGTCAGCTGATATTCTTATGGGGGTACACTTGTAAGTAACTTGCTGCCTGTCTTTTGCTGCTTTTAGGATTCTGTCTTTGTCTTTAACCCTTGCCATTTTCACTATAATCTGTCTCGGTGTGGGACTGTTTGAGTTCATCTTGGTTTGAACTATCTGCACTTCCTGGGCTTGTATGTCAATTTCCTTCACCAGGTTAGGGAAGTTTTCAGTCATATTACTTCAAATATGTTCTCAATCCCCTGTTTACTCTCTTCTCCTTCTGTTATTCTTTTATTTGAAAGATTTTATTGGGGAGTTGGGGGGACGGGAACAGCGTTGGGGAATCAGGGAAACAGAACAGATAGGTAGACAAATTGCTGTTTTGTTCTTCAGTCTAGTTGTGGAGGACATCACTTCACTGGCCCATGTTGGTATTATCATTGTGCTCTTCCTGAATGAGGCAGATGGGTCGCCGGTCATTGGTCGGCTGCTCACAGCTGCTCCCGGCAGCTCACACCGGCTGCTGGCTGCTCATTCTGGCTGCCAGCCACTCATGTAGCTCCCGGCAGCCCACTGCAGCCCTGCTGCAGCCTACACTGTCACTGGCGACTCATGGCAGCCCAGCTCCAGGTCGAGCTGTTGTTCACCATCTTAGCTCTAGAGGGCAATTGTCACTGGCCCTCAGTGGGGGATCTGAACTGCAGCCCTGCTGCTCAGAGCTGGCGCTCCCAATCGAGCTCTTAACCAGCTGAGCCACTCGGCCGACCCCCTTCTGATATTCTTATGATGAGCATGTTGTTGTGCTTGATGTTATCGTCCAGCTCTCTTAAAGTATTTTCAATGTTTTTTATTCTTTTTTCTTTTTGTTGTTCTGCTTGGGTGATCTCTGCTATCTTGTCTTCTGGCCGTTGATTCAATTCTCTGCTTCATTCAATCTGCTGCTAATTCCTTGGAGTGTATTTTTTATTTCAGTAATTGTATTCTTTAGTTCTAACTGGTTATTTTTCATGATTTCTCCATCCTTCTTCACATTCTCACTAATTTCCTTAAACATTTAAATCATCAAGTGTTCTCAACTTTGCCTCTAATAGGTTGGTTGCCTCTATTTCATCTAATTCCACTGATTCTAGAGGTTTCTTCTGTTCTTTTATTTGAGATGTGTTTCTTTGTTTCCCCATTCTGGCTGACTCTTTGTGCTTGCTACGATGCATTATGTAGGTCCCCTGGGTCTCTCAGCTTTTGCTGGGTGGGCTTACGTGGTATGTGCCCTTTATATTTGAATTGCTCAGTCTCCCTATGCTCCTGTGTGTGTGTTTACCAGAGGTGTCCCGTGTGTTGTGTGTCTTCTGTTGAAGTTGAGCTATGAGTGCTTTTGGCTTGTCAGTAGGTGGGATTGACTCCCAGGCTGACTAGCTGTGAGGATTGCCTATGTCCACAGTTTGTAAGCTGCTTTGTGAGGGTTGACCACTCAGATGAGGCTTGGCCTATATGGGCTCTTGTGTCAGTAGAGAGTTCCATTTGGGTGTGACCCTTGTAGTTCAAACCTGGTAATGCCCTAGTGTGGTCTAGAGTTGGCTTGTGGGTGTGATGATTCTTGTGCCTCTTTGGCTGGGCCCTGGTGCAGAGCGATTTTAGAACAAAACGGATCAACAAGCACAACAACAACAGCCACCAAAAGAAATCAGTTACTCTCACATGTAAAAACAACAGACAACCCACACTCAAGCGTGCACATAAATATCAAAAATACAAAACAATGAAAGGAACACGACAAACAAAATAGTAACATCAAAAGAAAAATAATTGCAGAAAAATGTATAGAAGGAGGAAAAGTAGAGCAGGGAAAAGAAAAAAGAAAAGGGAGAGAAAAAAATATATACTTTTTTTTCTCTCCCCTCTCTCTATGTCTCTCTCTATATATGTCTACACACATAAATATATATATATGTATATATATATATATATATATATTGGGTTGTTGGAAAAGTCATGGCACATTTTTGCATCGAAAAACAGGAAAAATACGTCATGACTTTTCTTACAACCCTATGTGTGTGTGTGTGTGTGTGTGTGTCTGTATATCAAAAGCTAAAAATGATAATAAAGTAGAAAAACAAAAACAACCCAAAACACTAAACAAAACACACAAAAAATAACCAAAAAAAAACAGTGCCAGTCTTGACTAAAGTCCACCAAGCTGTCTCCAGGTTGTCCTCTGCTGTACAAAAACTCCTCTGCATCTTGTGGAGGCAGAGCCGGCCACTTGGCACCCAGAGTGACCCTGGCAATGCAGTTCTAGATGAGTGGGGCTATGGGGTGTGATTGGCAGTTTTTACAAAGTCAGTGCCGCTTCTGCTCTCGCCTACCCAGATGCTTATGCTGAGAGCACCACAGCCAGAAGACTCCTGGGTCTTAGGGCACTCTTTGCACCAGGGGCTGTGAAGGGTGTGAGATTTCTGAGCTGCTAAAGGCCCAGCGCTGCCTCTGCTGTGTCCAGCTGTGACTCAGCGCTGAAGTTGCCCTGCCTGGAGCCAAGCCGCGCAGGAAAGTTGGGTTCAGGGTAGGCAGTCCCATAATCCTTTCAGCCTTTTCCCTAGCTGAGTTTTCCCATTTCCTGGGGGTTTGCAGTACCTCTGTAATCTGACACTACTCCTTTGTTCATTGACCAGTTTAAGATTCTGGAAGGGCGGGGGTAGGATTGCTGAGGGAGTGTGGAAGTGGGGTCCTGGTTATGGAGTTGCTTTTTGCTTTCTCTCTGAGAGAGCCCAGCCTCAATTTTGAGCTGAGGCTTCTGCCTCAGACGCTGGGTGGCACCTTGCTCTCTGCCGAACTCTCAGCAGAACTGCGGGGCATAGGGAGGGAGCCCATCGCCTTGCTGCTGTAACAATTTCCAACTTGCTTCCTGGGGCCCCGCGTCTCCGCAGCCACGGATGTGGGCTGCGTCTCTGCACGCCTCCCTTCCCTCTTCCCCCACTCGCTGGGTTTGCCCATCTTCAAGTAATCGTCCTGCGAGTCTCTTAGCTGTCCTATTTGATGAGCAGAGGTTCCTCTGAGGAGTTATAGCTGTTCAATTTGTGGTAATTTTTAGGGGAGACCTCAGGGAGCCCACCTTACTGCTACCATTACTATGACGTCACCTCCCAATTCACCTTTTGTCTTTTTGTTTCAGGTCAGATAGCCTCCTTCAGCATTTCCTGTAATGCTGGCCTTGTGATAGAAAATTCCCTCAGCTTCTGTATGTCTGGGAAGGTCTTTATTCCTCTTTCATATCTAAAGGATAACTTTGCAGGATATATTTTTGTGTTGGTAATTTCTCTCTTTCAGTAGTTTGAATATTTGATTCCACTCCATCCTGGTTTAAGAATTTCTGCTGAATATTCTGATCATAATCTAATGGTCTTTCCTTCCTTGGAGAAAGCCTCCTAGTATTGATGTAATTAGGTATTATGTTTGCTTCTTGGATTTGAGGATCCTGTTCTTTTCATAGTTTCGTGACGTTTTCATCGACTGTTTGAATACTCTCCATGCCCTTCTCCCTCTCTTCTCCTTCTGGTATAATAACCATTGTTATATTGCTGTTTTTGATGGAGTTAGATAGTTCTTATAGAGTTATTTCATTTCTTTTAACTCTCAAGTCTCTCTTCTTCCATCTGTATCATTTCCAGATTTCTATCTTTGATATCACTAATTCTTTCCTCCATCTGGTCAATTCTATTTCCTCGCCTGGCTATTTCATTCTTCATCTCTTTTATTGAGTTCCTCAGCTCCAGAATTTCTATTTGCTACTTTTTAGGTATTTCAATATCTTTCGTAAAATAATCATTTTGTTCATTGATTTTTATTTCTGAATTCATTAATCTGCCTGAGTTTTCTTGCGTCTTGTTGAGTTTTTTCAGTACTGGAATCTTGAATCCTCCATCTTGTAAGTCACGTATTTCCATGTCTTTAAGGTTTCGGGGTTTTTAAAGATTTTTCACTTTTCTTTCTTGAGCTGCCTTGTTTCCTTGTGTATTCAGGGCAATGAATGAATTTTTGTTTTTTTCCTGGGCATCTGCAGAAGTGGTATGCAGCTGGTTGATTTGAAGAGGTCTTTCTTTTGCTTTTCGGTAGGTGGCCGTGGAGCATTTTATTTTCTCTCCTGTGCTGTTCCAACTTCTCCTTGGTGGGATATTTCCTGGGAAAGTGGGCTTCTCTTCTGTGACCAGTTTGCCTTTGTCTCAGGGTAGCACACCCATGGGAGGATGTGGTGGGCAATGGGTTCCCGAGCCTCTGAAATCCGGTGCTACCCCTTCAACCAGATGCAGAGGTGTGCATCACAGCAGCCCTTTGTGCCCCTGCTGTGATCAACCGGTAAAGGAGGGGGCAGAATGGGCTGGGAGGCAGCAGTCACTCCTGTGGCCCTGCTCTCTTTGAAGCCCTGGCCTCTGCCAGACCACAGCTGCCTCACCCATAGAGTTTCTTCTCTGTCACCAGAATTAGCTGCACTATGTGTCTGTCACTTAGGAAGTGTCTCCATCTTTCAGGGCTGTAGATATTCTGCTGTTAAGCTCGACACTGCTACTGTTTTTGTTTGGTTTTGCTTTTCTTTCTGGTGCCTGCTGCTAGCTGTGGGAGGGTACGATGGAGGGAGCTCTGAGAAGGTGTTGATTGGCAGCCTGGATTTGTGGCTTTGTTTTCTGCCTAGCAATGAGGGCTGTTACACCACAGTTATCAGAGCCCTTCTGCATTGGGACTTTGCCCTCAGGTTTCTGCCCCATCACTGGGTTCAGCTGTATCATATTCTGATTCCCTCAGGTAGGATTGTTGGGGCCACAGAAAGTGCTCCTGCAACTCACTCTTCCCCTTTCCCAGGACTGCAGTGAGCTCTGGTCTGTGTCCAATGACCCCTGTCTCTGCACTTCTGCCTGCCCTCCTACCATGTGCGCCCCAGTTCACCCACCTTTAAGATGTTTCGATTCGCAGAACTCTCAGACATGTTTGTGTGCTGCGTCAGCAATCCTTTGTTGAAATGTAGCTGTTGTTCAATTTGTTGTAACTTCTAGGGGAGATATCAAGGAGCACCTTTTACATCACCATGTTTCTGACATCTGGTATTTTATATTTTTGATGCAATTATTAATGGGATTTTTTCTTAATTTACCTTTCCAATAGTTCATTATTGGTGTATAAAATGCAACCAATTTCTGAATATTAATATTGTCTCCTGCTACTTTACTAAATTCACTTATCATTTCTAATAGTTTTTTGGTGGAATCTTTGGGGTTCACTATCTGCAGTATCATGTCATCTGCAAATAATGACAGTTTTACTTCTTTCCAATTTGGATGTGTATTATTTTTTTTTGTATGATTGCTGTGGCTATATTCTTTCAATACTATGTTGAATAAAATTGGTGAAAGTGGACATCCTTGTCTTGTTCCTGACCTTAAGGGAGAATGCTTTTAAGCTTTTCTCCATTGAGTATGATGTTAGCTGTGGATTTGTTATGTATGGCCTTTATTATGTTTAGATATGTCCTGAGAGATTTTATTATAAATGGGTGTTGGATTTTGTCAAATGACTTTTTCTGCATCTATTAATATGATCATGATTTGTAATTTTTACTTCGTTTATGTGGTATATCTTTTTTTTAAGATTTTGTTGGGGAATTGGGGAAGTGGAACAGCCAAGTTGTTGTCCTTCAGTCTTAGTTGGGGAGGGCGCAGCTAGCTCAGCTCCAAGTCCAGTTGCCATCCGACCGCCTATCAGCAGCTCACAGCCATTCATCTCAAGATGCCATGTTCAATCTTACTTGTGGGTGGGCGTAGCCCACCATCCCATGCGGGAGTTGAACCGGAAACCTTTTTTAATAAATGCACCTTGACTGTGGTGTATGATCTTTTTAATGTATTGCTGAATTCAGTTTGCTAATATTTTGTTGAGGATTTTTGCATATGTTCATCAGGGATATCAGCCTATAATTTATTTTTTGTAATGTCTGTGTCTAGTTTTGGAATTAGGATAATGGTGGTGGCCAATCTTATGGGATTTAAAAAAAAATAATTGAACTTTCATATTGGCTTTGCATTTAGAATTAATGTTTATTATTTTGCTTTTGGCAAAATGATTATTATATCTATATAACCCTATAATTTGCATTGGTGGGAAAACTAAATCAGTCAGATAGGTACCTAAACAATCTGCATCTCTTTAAATTCTGTCTCAGCAAAAGTTAGGTATGCACAGGGCAATAGCATGGCCAGAAGATTTCCAAGCCTCAGGAAAGGATTTATGAAAGAATATACATGGAAGAGTATGTGAGGTTTATTTCATTATAATAGCCAGTGTGCTCATGGGCATCTATCTGATCTAAATAACATTTAAACATGTTTTCTTGTAAAGATCCTCATGGACCAGATGTAGTTTTTTATGGAGATCTTTGTATTATGTGTAATACACTATTCTCTTTAATATGCTTTGGAATTAATGTGTTAATTTACTTCTAGGATTTTTTTTTTTAGCTGAGCCATCCTGCCAACAGGTCTGTTGGCATACTTCTAGGATTTTTAATCATTCAACTTGAAACAAACCAAAACAAACTGTGGAACGCAGACAGAAGTATAAAAATATCTTAGTTCTTATATTTAGTAGTCTGCCATGATGTAGTAACCACTTGAGCTAAAGCCGACCCAATATTTAATATTTTATATTGAGACTTGATCCTCTGACAGTGATCTTCCTATATATGGGCTTTAAGTGAATAATTGATGTTGATTTAATATAACTACATAAATCATATTGATTTAATATAACTACATAATTGATCTCTTTTAGTGCTCATACCTTTATTTTGTCTTGATGGTAGAATCATTTATTCATTAATTCAGCAAGCATTTATTTTATTACTATTACTGCCAGGAATACTTTGTTTCTTTATCATTGATTGTATTTATTCTCTATAGTTGCCTTTTCGATTTCTTTTCAACTGGGTTTTACTAAATTCTTCTCTATGAATACATGGTCTAAGACCACGTATTTTAATTGTAGAGAACTAGAAAATTTATATTTATTTTTTTGTTGGATATAGGGGTACACGCGGAAAGAATTAGCATTTGTTGAATGCTTGTTATATGTTTACTTTTCTGAATTCTTTAAATGTATTTTCTCATTTAATCCTCAGAATAACTATGAAGTTGTTATTGTTGTTATCCCTATTTTATGAAAAGACTGAGACTCAGAAATTATCATAACTTATCAAGGTCATACAGCTAGTAAAGGGTACAGTGAGGATTCAAACCCATTTGTTTGGCCCCAGACCCCCAAGTCTGAACTTGGTTCCAAGAACACTGCTTTTTTCAGTTCCACACATCCCACTGATGCTTTTTCCTAGATACCTCACAGACGAAACTGAACTTACTTTTCCCCAAACCTATTTTTTCTCCTCTATAGGTACCTGAGTGAATATAACACTATGTAGTCACTCAAGTGAGCAGCTTTGGAATCATCAGACATTCCTCTCTCTTATGCATTCCCCCATCCAGTCAGTCACAGATAATTATAGCTTCCTAACATTACTTGCATCTGTTTCAACCTCTTTTCTATTGCAATTGTGTTAGTTTAGACTCTATCTTTTCCCAGCGGACTACTGCAACAGTCCCCAGACATTTCCTTTCTTCACTTTTACTTACCTTTCAATCTGTATTCTGCACTGATGTAAGAGTGATTGGTCTAGGACACAAGTCTGACTATGCAACTCCCATTTATTATCTTCTAGTGGTTCTTTCTGACTTTTAGGGTAAAGCTTAAAATGTTTGGCTTAACCCATAAGATTGAAGAGAGCTTCTGCCTACCTTTAGAGCCTCATCTCATGAACTCTTCCACTGGCACCTTTTGCTGCTAGGAACAATACTCCTTCCTCTATTGCAGCATGGTTTCACACCTCTGTGTTTTGTATCCTGGTCTCTATGCTGGGACTGCCTTCTTCCCATTTTCACGTAGGCTTTCAGAATTCAGTTCAAGCACAAGATGACTTTTCATTCCCATGGCTAGAAACATTCATCTATCTCAAATTTTATTTAACTGGATTTATCCCACTGTTCCCTTTTGAATACTGATTCTGTTATCTTACATATCTCCTTAATGTTTCTGTTCTTAGCTTCCATTTCATTTCCTGTCATTCCTATCTTAAGCTTCCTCCCCAGATTCCTCTGGGGACTGTCTTCAGAAAGCCCCAACTGCATCAACCTCAAAACTGTGATATCCAATCCTGGACTTTTTTTTCACAGGATATTACTTCAACTCATTTTCAAAATAATCACCCAATTCCTTATTTAAATCAAAAAGTGCTTTAATTATTCCTGATTGTAAGAGTAGTATAGCTTTATTGTTGAAAAATTGGAAAATTTAGGGGCTGGCCAGGTGGCACAATTGGTTAGATTGCAAGCTCTGAGCAGCAGGGTCTGCGGTTCGATTCCCCCATGGGCCAGTGAGCTGCACCAGAGATGAGATGCCGCTGAGCTCAGCTGGTGAGAACGCTTGCTCTTAACAAGGTTGCTGGTTTGACTCCCGCATGGGATGGTGGGCTGCGCCCTCCCTAGCCCCACAACTAGATTGAAAACGGCGACTGAACTTGGAGCTGAGCTGTGCCCTCCACAACCAAGACTGAAGGACAACAACTTGACTTGGAGCTGATGCGTCCTGGAAAAACACAATGTTCCCGTCCCCAATTCCCCAACACTGTTCCCTTCCCCAATTCCCCAATAAAATCTTTTAAAAAATTGGCAAACTTAAACACAAGAAGAAAATAAGCAAATAAACATCACCCATTATTCTACTCCCCAGAAATGACAAGTCATAGTATTTTGGTAATTTTCTCTTTAGATCTTTTATTCTATATGTGTGCATGAACGTTTGCATGTGCATGTGTATACGTGTGTGTGTATACATATATACATATACATACATACATATATTGCCTGTTGCCTATTCAACACTTTCACTTGGATGTACGGTAGCCCACCCCCACCCCACTTATTGCGGTTTCACTTTCTGCAGTTTCAGTTATCCACAGTTACCAACAGTGTGAAAATTGTCAGAAATAAGTGATTCATGAATGTTAAATTGTTTGCTGTTCTGAGGAGCATGATGAAATATTGAGCTGCCTCCTTCCATCCTGCCTAGGATGTGAATTATTTCTTTGTCCAGTGTATCCATGCTGTATATGCTACCTGCTCATTAGTCATGTAGTAGCTGTCTCTGTTGTCAAATCAGGTATTATGTCATTACAGTGTTTGGGTTTAAGTAACCCTGATTTTACTTAATAATTCCCCCAAAGTGCAAGAGTAGTAATGCTGGCAATTTGGATATGCCAAAGAAAAACTATGAAGTGTTTCCTTTAAGTGAAAAAAGTTTGTATGTAAAGGAAAACATAGTCTAGATTCGGTTCAGTACTATCTGCTGTTCCAGGCTTCCACTGTGGGTCTTGGAATGTATATCCCATGGATAAGGGGGGACTACTGTATAATAGGCATATGAAACTTAACTTTCTCAAACCACACTCTTAATCTCCCTCCTTGTATCTCTAAACATGTTCATCCTGCACTTTTTCCCATTTCAGAAAATGTCAACTTCAACCTTCTAGTTGCTCAGCTCAGAATCTATCACGTCCCGCGTGACAAAGTCTGGGGGGCTTGAGGAGGGGCGGCGAAGGGTTAAGAAATCACAAGATTCAAAAGTAGAGTTTCTGCGCACCAGGGGTCTCATCTCTGCAGACCCAGAGAGCGAGCCCTGATACTGGCGGGCGAATAACTTTTATTTACAGCTGTCACAAAGAAGTCAATTTGAATATCTATACCCAGTTTAATTGATTCGATTAGACTGGCAGCTGCTTCACCGAAACTCATTGTGATCAAGCACGAGTTGTGCTTTCACACATACGTATGATCCCCGGGATGGCCTCAGCATTCTGAGACCACCGGATAAGGAAGTTTTACTGAGATCAGTCCCTCGGGTCTCAGCATTCCAAGACACTTCCTTATGACTCCAAAGCATCAGTGCGCAGGAGCATTCGAGTCGGCAGCTGCAAGGCGAAAAGAATCCTCAGAGCCATCCTTGTCACTTGCTTTCACAGCCCAGGTCTAATCCATTAGCAAATCTTATTGACAATACCTTCAAAATATACCCAGCATCTGAGTACATTTTACCACCATCTCCACACCTACCACCCTAGCGCTGGCCATCTTTTACTTAAGTTATTTATTACAAAGGAGCCTCTTAATAGGACTCCTTTCTGCACTTGTTTTCCTTTAGTCTGTTTTCCAAAAACCATTAGCTTGATATTTTAAAAATGTAATTCAGATCATGTCGTTCTTCACATTTCTCTAAATACTTCTCATCTCATTTAGGATAAAAGCTAGTATCCTTTAAGGATTTGGAAACGTCTACATTAATTGGCTCCCTACTGTCTTCCTCTCTTGCCTCACTATTCCTGGTGAGTTCTTCTCCAGCTCCACTTGCATCCTTGTTGAATCTCAGTACACCAGGCATTTTTGCCCTCCTCAAGAATTCTGCCCTTTCCTGAAATGATTTTCATCCCCAGATAACCATCTGATTTATTCCCTTGCCTTCAGGTTTCTGCTCCAATGTACTTCTTCAGCAAGGTATTCCATGAACAATTTATATAAAAGAGCGTGCCTCCCCCATGCCTTTGTCCCTTTCTCATACCTTGTTTTATTTTTCTCTGCAGAATTTAATACTGTCTGACATTCTAAATGAATAGTCTTGCCATCTGACATTCTGAATGTATACTTCTTCTTATTGTTTGTCATTATCACCCCACCCACCTCCCGGGCACTACAATTTGGGCTTTATCAATTATTAAGACTACTAAAAGTCTCTAAAACTACTTGTGGATTTCTCCTTCTCCTTAAAGTTCCATAATTTTCCCTTATCAGTTCTGAAGCTGTTATCAAACACATAAATGATTAGGAATGTAATGCCATCTTGGTGAATTTACACCTTTGACATGATGAAATCACATTTTTTAATGATTTTATTGGGGAATTGGGGGAAGGGAACAGCATTGGGGAATCGGAGGAGGGGAACAGACAAGCTGCTGTCCTTTTGTTCTTCAGTCTAGTTGTGGAGGACTTCACTTCACTGGCCCATGTTGGTGTTATGATCATTGTGCTCTTCCTAGGTGAGGCAGTTGGTCGCCGGCCGAGGCAGTCGGCCACTCACAACGGCTCACGAAAGCTCTTGCTGGCTGCCAGCCACTCACAGTAGCTCACAGCAGCCTATGCCGTCACCGGCTACTCGTGGCAGCCCAGCTCCAGGTCAAGCTGTTGTTCACAATCTTCGCTGTAGAGGGCGCAGCTTACTGGCACATGGTGGGAATCGAACAGGCAGCCTTGTTCAGAGCTCGTGCTTTTACCAGCTGAGCCACTTGCATGGCCACAAATTTACTTTCTTTATATTCCTGATAATAATCTTTGCTATGAAGTCTATTTTTCTGATATTAATATATTCATCCCAGCTTTCTTTTGAATAGTGTTAATATATTTCTCCATCCTTTTCTTTTTATTCAGTTTGTGTCATTATGGAAAAAGTGGGTTTCTTGTAGTTAGTATATGGTAGCATCTTTTTTTTAATCAAATCTGGCAATCTGGCATTTAATTGCAGGGTTAAGATTGTTTATATTTAATGTAATTATTGATATTAATGGGTTTAAATCTATTGTTTCATAGGTTTTATTTTAGTCTTATCTATTCTTTGTAGCTGTCTTTCCTCTTTTCCTGCCATCTTTTGAATTATATTTTAAAATTTTTATTTATTGGAGCAATTTCAAGATGGCAGAATAGGTAAACGCTATTCCTGACACTTCCCAGGATCACATTAAGATTACAACGAAATTATAGAATATGTCTGACTGAGAAAAATGAATACCATATGATTTCACTTACATGTGGGTTATAAAGAACAAAATACTCGAACAAACAAAACAGAAACAGTCTCATAGATAATGACTACAAACTGATGGTTACCAGATAGGACGGGAGTGAGAAATGTAAATGTATCAAGAAGTACAAGTTGGTAGTTACAAAATAGTCACGAGGTTGTAAAGTATGGGGACTGTAGTCCATAATATTCTAAAAACTATAATGTCAGATGCATGCTACTTATTGGGGGGGATCACTTCTAAATTATATAAATGTCGAACCACTATGGTGTACACCCAAAACTGATATAAAATAATATTGAATGTCAAGTATAATTGAAAAAAATAGTCATGGGCACGTAAAGTACTACATCGAAAATATAGTCAATAATGTAATAACTATGTACCGTGTCAGATGGGTATTAGACTTATTGGGGTTAGCACTCTGTGTGGTGTATAAATGTTTAATCACTATGGTGTTTTGTTCACCTGAAACTAATATTTTATGTCAACAGTAATTGAAAAATAATTTTTTAAAAATTAATAAAGTAATAAAATTTCTATTTACTTTCTGGCCTTATCCACTATAACTTTGTTATGTTAGTAATTGTTTTAGGGTTTAAAGTATAATATTTAACTTTTCTCTGTGTACTTTCAAATACTACTATACCATTTCATATATAGTATAAGAAACTTCAGTATATTTCTATTTCTTTCCTCTTGGCCTTTGTTGTATTGTTGCCATATCTTTTACTTCTGTATATGTTATAAATGCTTCAGTACCTTATTATTTTTGCTTTAAACAGTCATTGTTTCTTTAAAGATATTTAAATAATCAGAATAATGACTTTTATGTTTACTTCCTTAGTTACCATCTCCAGTACCCTTTATTCCTTTTTGTAGGTCCATATTTCCATGTACATTATCCCCCTTCTACCTGAAAGAGATACTTTAACATTACTTTTACTGCTGGTCTGCTCGTGTTGTGTTTAGTTCTTTCAGCTTCTGCATGTCTGAAAGTGTCTTTATTTTGCCTTCAGTTTTGAAAGATACTTCTGCTAGTGCAAAACTCTAGGTTGACATTTTTTTTTCAGTACAGTACTTTAAAGAGGTTTCTTCGTTGCCCTCTGGGTGTGTTGTTTCCAATTGACAAAAACCCTATTGTCGATATCTGTCTTCCCGAATCTAATGTGTCTTTTTCTGGCTGCTTTTTTCCATTTTCTTTTTATTATTTGTTTTTAAGTAATTTGGTTATTATGTATCTTGGCGTAGTTTTCTTTGTGTTTCTTTTGCTTAGAGTTCATTGAGCTTCTTGAATTTGTCGGCTTATTATTTTTATGATATTTGAAATTTTGGGGCCGTTATTTCTTCAAATATCTATTCTGTCACCTGAGCTCTTCTTCTGGAACCCTAATTATATGTATATTAGGCCACTTGTAGTTTCCCCACAGGTCACTGATGCTCTGTTAATTCTTCTTCAGTTGTTTTCTCTCTCTGCTTAATTTTTGCTAGTTCTTTTATGATGTCTTTATGTCCACTGATCATTTCTTATGAAATGTCTAACCTGCAGTTAATCCCATCCAGTTTATTTTTAATTTCTGATGTACTTTTTACCTCTTGAACTTTGATTTTTATCTATTTTATATCTATCATGTCTGTGCTTTACATGTTCAGCCTTTTCCTGTAACTTCCTGAACATTGGTTAAATTTTTTATTGTATGCCAAATCTTGTGAACTTTACCTTTGTGGGTCCTGGATATTGTAGTATTGCTATACATATTCTTTAACTTTGTTCTGGGATGTGGTTAAATTATTTGACAATAATTTGATATTTTGGGGACTTGATTTTATGTCTTGTTATGTGGGATCACATGATAAGTGATTACATTGAGGTATTAGCCTAGAATCAAATTTGCCCCCCTGCTATGGCAAGACTTTGCTTAGTACTCTACCCAATGCCCCGATGAAGTATAAGGTTTTCTACTCTGGTTGGGGGAAACTGGTACTACTCCTAGCCCTCTGTGATACTGAGAATTACTCTCTCGTCTTTCTGGTGATTCATTTGCCTAGGGTAGTTTCCTCACATGTATGATCAGTGATTATTACTTAGCTGAAAATTTCAAGGATGCTTCTGTAGAGCTCTTAAGTTCTTTCTCTGTGCATTGCTCTTTTCTTTGCTACTTTATCCTGTTAACTTCATTCATGTTCCCCCTGGCTCCCAGCTTTGTTTCCTCAATTCAGGGAGCCCCCTAGCCCCGCCTTCATTCCCTCTCTCTGGCCTGTGATCTGAAAACTCTCTTCCTGCAGCAAACTGACTCAATTGTGGGGTTCACCTTGTTTGTTACTCATGTCTAAGGGATAAAAGTTATTTTCTTTATTTTTTGCCTGATATTCAATGCCTTTAAAAGTATAATTTTATATATTTTGTCTTTTTTTATTGTTTTCAGCTAGGGTATAAATCTGGTCTCTCTTAATTCTATCTTGGCCAGATGCAAATCTAATTTTTACATTTTCTGTAGTTTGTAAATGTTTAATTTTGATTGTTTCTTTCATATGCCCTCTCTACCCTAACATATAAAAATTACTGACCATATTTTTCAGATACTTATGTGATTTCATCTTTATTTATATTTAAATATTTCAGTCCATTAATTTTGGTATTTAATATGGAGTAAGAAATCTAATTTTTTTTATTCCTCTCTTCCTCCCTTTTTCCTTCTTTTTCTCACTCCCTCACCTTCTGTCCCTCTCTTTTTCTTTTTTCTTTCTGTATGTATTTTACATTTGGTTAACTAGTTGTTTCAACAATATTTGTTACATAATTTATCATTTCCACAATGATTTTAAACTTCATTTTTATCTTAAATTGTTCTACTTGTGGTCGTGTACTTCTCTTAACTTAAAAATCCATAGATTCTGGAGGTAGTACTAGTTTATTTCTGTAATTTAATAGAATATATGTAATTTCCATTAGGAATTCCCTTTTATTATATAACTTTTTCTTCTTGTTTACCTATTCTTTCAAATAACTTTGCAACTCTTTTATCATACTTTTAAAACAAGCCCCACAACACTTCTCAGGGTTGTTGTTTTTTAAAATATAGTCCATTTCAGCTATTAGTTTGAAGGATAATTTATACTTATAATATTTAATCTTTCTGTCTAAGAACTTTTCAGTCATTCAAGTCCCTTACTAGACATTTGTAGTTTTTTCTTGTAGTTCTTGTGCATGTCCAGTTAAGTTACTTCATAGGTGGGTATTTTTTACTTTTCCTTCATCTTATAAATGAGATTTTTTTTCTAATATATTTTATAACTTGTTATAGTTGATATATAGGAAAGCTACTATCTTTAGTATATTTTTTTCTACAACTACTAACCTTTCTTCTCTTAATAATAATAGGATTTTTTGGTTTTCTTTTCCTTGGGTAATTACGTTTTCTATAAATTTGGGGAATTTGTTTTTTTCTAATTTTTATTTTGTTTATTTATTTATTAGCTGAGTGATGCTGCCACCTGTTGGCAGCTCAGTGACAGCTCAGCTTGGGCCGGGAAGTGAACCGCTGTTGCTCAGAGCTCACACTCTTGAGTGAACTCTTAACCAACTGAGCCACTCGGCCAGCCCTCTCTCTAATTTTTAAATGTTGTTTTCTTACTGTACTGTAGAGAAGTTCCACAGTAGTAGTGAATAATACCAACTCTAGTGGACATTTTGTTGGTATAATTTTTCCAATGGAACAACTTGTTCAAATTTGCTACCTAACAATAGCATGTATAGTTTATCTTACTCCACAAAAACTGGATGAAAAAAATTTCTACCATAGCCCCTGGGTGTCAGAATTAAAGGTTAGAGACTCATTCTCAGTAATTCAGTAGAGAGAAAAGAATTAACTCCCCTAAGCTGTTTGGCATTTAGACAAAACAAATTTGTCTAAAGAAATTATTAGTTGTTTTTTTCTTTTTTTAGTTTTGGATAATTATTTTAATATAATAAATATTGTATCTGTTCTTTGACTGTATGTATCTAGATATTTCTTTTAGTCTCTAAGAAAGAGTAGTACTTAGAGTAGTCCTATGTATATAGGGTGATATTAAATAAGCCCATTTTGATATTTTTTAAAGCTACATAATTGAGTGGGGACTTAAATATATTTTTGTCAACTTCAAGTTTTATGTTATTAGTTGAAGGCACAGGCAGAGGTAAATTCTTTAGATTTCTAGTAAAACAAAGAGACAACTTTATAATATAATGTTCATAATGTATACCTAAGTGTAATTCTAAATATTTTAACATATGAAGCCATCTTTAATTTTTTAGTGTCTCTGCAGATGAAGTTAATTCCACATTATCACCTCTCACATGGCAGGTAAGAGGAAATTAAATTACTACTACATGTAATATTTTTTCTCATTTATTTAATTAAAAGAAATTTTTTCATTACAGTCCTTAGAAAATCAGAAGGATCAAATATATGAACAACAGTGGCCAGAATCTCAACCTATAATCTGGCAGAATGAAGAAAGGAGGCGGAGCAAACAGATTAGAAAAGAGTATTTCAAGGTACTTTATTAAAATTGTAAAATTTACTTTGTAACTATTAGTTTTGATTTTATCAGTTTTGTGTTAACAAAGTAGAATATAGTTCTAGTTAAATATAGTAAGTATGTTTTTTTATATTGATTTCCCACATATGTGTGGTATAGATAGCATGATCCAGTTATATCCATAAAATTTCAGCAATTCAGAATAATTAAGAATGAATCACTCAGGGATGGCCAATTAGCTCAGTTGGTTAGAGCACAGTGCTTATAACACCAAGATTGCCGGTTTGATCCCCACATGGGCCACTGAGGTGTGCCCTCCACAACAAGATTGAAACAGCTACTTGACTTGGAGCTGATGGAGTCTGGAAAAACACACTGTTCCCCAATTAAAAAAAAAAAGAATCGGTAGCTTAATCTGAATTGTGATTTACTAAATACTTTACAAGAAAGATTAATGTTTGCTACACTGCTAATTGTACCAATATGTGGTAATGTTTTGAAAGAATTGCTCAGAAAAGGTCTTTCATTGGATTCATTTCAATAAATAGTTAACACATATTTACAATTAACATTTAAATGTTTCTTTGTAAAATATATGCCACTTATGTGGTTCTAAAAATGACTGAAAGCATTTTCCCTCCCAGTTTTTTCTTATTATTACATTAGTAGATTTCTCAAAGTGGTCTTTTATCTTAACTAAATTAAAAGTTCACACCATCTGAATTATCCCAAATTTCTAATTAGCATACTTCTAATGAAATTTTACTGTATAGACCTTTGTAAATATTGTAGTATTATCTATTTGTGGTTAAAGTCTGCTATATTTGCAGATGCCAATCATTGGAATTGGAATAATCATTAGTACTAATCAGAATCCACCATTGGCATTTCTGATAGAAATGAACAATGCAAACAATGTAGCTCCTGATCCATCAATAGCAAATTCTGTTGTCTTTGTGCACCCTTTCTGTTCCAAATCCTAATTTTTATTTAATAATAATACTTGTATCTGAATATTTAGTTCTAAGATAAATTATAGGTAATTTGAGGTTTATATCACTAATAAATAGGAACATATTTCATGTATTTTTCTGTTTGCTGAAAGTGGGTCTTTATGCATATTGATCTGTTTTCTTGTGTTTTAAAGATTTTGTTTGGGGCATTGAGGGAGGGGGAACAGACAAGTTGCTGCCCTTTTGCTCTTCAGTCTAATTGTGGAGGATGTCGCTTCACTGGCCCATGTTGGTATTATCATTGCGCTCCTCCCAGGTGAGGCAGTCGGTCGCCGGCCATTGGATGGCCGCTCACGGCAGCTCACGAAAGCTCATGCAAGCTGCTGGCCAGCCCCACTGCAGCCTACACCATCGCTGGCGACTCACGGCAGCCCAGCTCCAGGTCGAGCTGTTGGTCACCATCTTGGCTGTAGAGGGCACAGTGTCACTGGCCCTTATGTGGGATCCAAACTGGGACCGTTATGCTCAGAGCTGGCGTCCCAAGCCAACTCCTAACCAACGCGCCACTCGCGGCCCACCCTGATCTGTTTTCTTATATGGGAGTATAACATATATTTGGATGTAGTATCATATATTACAAAAAATGTTATATCTCTTAGCAAGTCTTTGATAAGTTTAATCCTTCAACACATAATTACTGAATCTTTTTTTTTTAAGCTGAGCCATCCTGCCACCTGTTGGCGGCTCAGCGACTGCTCAGCTTGAGCCGGGAATCGAACTGCTGTTGCTCAGAGCTCAAATTCTTGAGCGAGCTCTTAACCAACTGAGCCACTCGGTCGGCCCTGAATCTTTTTAATTAGCCTCACGTTACCTGGTCAATATGAGAGATAATGAAGAAATTAAACATATAGGGGAAAAGGGAAAGACGTTCTAATCAAGAACGCTGGTCAGTAATGTTATAAGTCTGTTACCCCAGCCTTTTACAGATTTGCAGTTATATTTATATTCTGGCATTTATTTTACAGTCCCCTCTTTTAGTTTATGGAGCCTTGAAAAAAGGCACACAATAAAATTTGTTAATAGATAAAACTTGGTAAATTACTGATGATGTGGGGGGAATTTTAGTATTCCTAACTAATAAAATAGATTTTAATATTTACTTTATCTTCTGGTATAATAAAAACAGACGAAGTCTATTTATCAAATCACTTGCATAGCACTTACTAAGTGATAGGCACTGTTCTAAGTACTTTTCAAATATCAACTCATTTAATCTTTATAACAGCCCTATAAAGTAAATACAATTATTATCATTTCTATTTTACAGATGGGGAAATTAAGGAACAGGCAGGCGAAGTAATATGCTTGTCACTTAGCTAATAAGCAGCTGAGTCAACATTTAACCCAGAGCCTATGCTATGCTTCCTGTTTACCTATTGTGGATAGCCTAATATCAAATGAACAAACACTTTCAAATGAATACAGTTTCATTGTTTTTAAAATATTTTAGGGCTGGCTGTGTGGGTCAGTTGGTTAAGAGTTAGCTTAAGAGCGCGAACACTGAGGTACAGAGCCGCCAGTTCGATTCCCACATGGGTCAGTGACGCTGCGCCTGAGCTGAGCTGCCAAAAGGTGACAGGATGGCTCAGTTGGTGAGAGCACGTGCTTCTAACAACAAGACTGCCTGTTCGATGGTGGCCTATGCCCGCTCGCAACTAAGACTGAACTTGGCACCTTGAGCTGAGCAGCTGCCCGGATGGCTCAGTGGACAGAGTGTGCACTCTTAAAATTGAGGCTGCTGGTTTGACTCCCGCATTGGATGGTGGATACAATGACTTGCAACTAAGATTGAACACAGCACCTTGAGCTTAGAGGTCATGAACTGCCAACGGCAGCCAGATGGCAACAGGCACCCTCCACAACTAAGACTGAAGGACAACAACTTGGCTGGTCCCCTTCCCCAATTCCCCAACACTGTTCCCCTCCCCCAATTCCCCAATTAAAATAAAATAAAGAATTCAAGTATTTAAAAATATATATTTTACAGTAACTCAGGTGAACTTCTCAATAAATTGTTAATAGAGGCCTCAATGACCCTTTAAAAATAGTTTGATTTAATAGCATCATTTGTTAAAAAGTATTTTATTTTTATGGATTATACATACATTCTACAATATTACTTTTTTATAAGTTGCTAAGAGATCAAATGAGAACATCTTTGAAGTGTCCATTACATAGTCATCATTTAATAGATGTTAATTTCTTCCATACTTAATAAAGTAGGTGCAAAGATAAAAGCTTCAATCACTGGGAAATGTTTTAAGGAGATAATGTAGTTCTGCTCAGTAGTCAGAAGATGTCAGTGTTAGGACACTTGAAAATTGAATGTCAACAATTTTTTTCCTAAAATGAGGGGGAAAAAGTATAAAGTTGAGATACTGCTCTCTAAATTAAGTCAAAGACCATTATTCTGAATTGCCAGTATTTTCATGATTAAAAAATCATTGATTGCTATGAAATGTCTTTCTTTGAAAAAGAAAATTCCTCTTAATCACCTGTCACCTGAGATGCAAAGGGGCTATTCAAAGGATGTGTTACTGAACTTAATCTGGGCATTAAACATTAAAATATACTACTCCAGAAATTTATATCATATTATCTCTGGGCTTGCTCAGAGATGCTCAGAGGTGGCTCCTTTAGCTTTGTTTGTTATGAAACATACAGAGCTATTGTGCAGATTTATCCTAACAGGTATAAATGACTGAGCCACAGGATTTCTTTGTGTTTCATGATAAATTATTCATGAGGCTTCATTCAGTATATCTATGGAAAGTGTTTGTATGTGTGTTTGTGTACATATGTCACGCTGTTACTGTTTCTTAGTTGTCAAGACTAATTTTGGGTAGTATATTTTTCAAGCAAGCCCCTGAAAATAAGTAAAAAAATGTTTCAATATGTTGGCCAGATTACGTGAGCTAAAGAAGATAAATTAGGTCAGATTATATGAATAAGTAAATCACTTAGGAGAGTTACATTAATTCTTTTAGACTCCATGGCCACTGTCATGTTGATTACTACTCTAGTAAGTAAAATTTAATGTCCTTGTCGGCAAAATAATATCACTGCATTTCTCAAAGTAAGGGTATTCCAGGAAATATATTACTTATTAAAAATCTTTCACAGAAATGTATTAATATTATTTTAATAAGATATACAACAAAGTATAAAAATCTAACCTATTGATAAATTGTTTAATGTAAATTGGTAGCTTTAATTTCTTGTAAGAATGATAGCACATGAATTTCTAAATGCATTTCACGATTGATTTCTAAACCAGAAAAGTTAAAAAGCTTTAGAATAACTATACCAAGGTAATTTTAAGGATTATTTGATTTATTGAAATGCCTTATGTAATTGCCTTCAACTGTATCTCATTACTATAGTGATAAAACATTATGACTTATGACTTAAAATACATATCTGATTTTATAAATATAGTACACTATTTTAATTTAAATGCTAACCCCAAAGGAAAATATTTTATGTTTTTTTTTATGATCATGGTTAATTTTATACTGGAATAAGGAAGCCAACTGGGCTTGTGAAATTACCTAATTTGTTCTGAGTCAGAGTTTGTGCACAGTTACTGTCTTTCCTGTGAAATTAATACAATCTTAAGAGATGAACTGACTTTGTTTCTGAAGAAGACTTTATTGTGGTATTTAAATTTGGATATGATAAAACTTCAGTTATTCAGACTAATATTAATTGAGGACAGTGGAGTTCAATTAATAAAAAATTTGAACTTATAGAATATTTTCAAATCTGTGTATATGTCAAGTTTTGGGTTTTAGGACCTTTAAATATGTGTACTAATGCAAACTAAGTATCTTTCTAAGTTTTCATGTATAATGGATAGTTTTAATTAGAAGAGTAGTTGAGTACCACTAATACAAGTCTAGTTATCTAAGTTATTGACTGCATCATCCTGTTTCTTTATCAATTATCTGCTCACTCTTCTTTGTCCTTTCTATCTCTTTACCTTCCTTGCACAGACCTCTAA